TTTGGCTACGTCTACACTGGCCCCTTTTCCGGGAGGGGCATGTAAATTTCACTAGTCGTCGTAGGGAAATCCGCGGGGGATTTAAATATCCCCCGCGGCATTTAAATAAAAATGTCCGCCGCTTTTTTCCGGCTTTTAAAAAAGCCGGAAAAGAGCGTCTAGACTGGCCCCGATCCTCCGGAAAAAGTGCCCTTTTCCGGAGGGTCTTATTCCTACTTTTAAAAGCCGGAAAAAAGCGGCGGGCATTTTTATTTAAATGCCGCGGGGGATATTTAAATCCCCCGCGGATTTCCCTACGACGACTCGTGAAATTTACATGCCCCTTCCGGAAGAGGGGCCAGTGTAGACGTAGCCGTCATGTTTTTATAGACCTCTATCATATCCCCCCCGTCATCTTTTTTTCCAAGCTGAAAAGTCAGTCTAATTAATCTCTCCTTGTATAGAAGATGTTACATACCCCTAATAATTTTTTTGCCCTTTTCTGAACTTTTTCCAATGCCAAGATACCTTTTGGGAGATGAGGTGACCATCTCTGCCTGCAGTATTCAAGATGTGGGTGTACCATGAATATGTATAGCAGCAATAAAATACTGTCTTATTCTCTATCCCTTTCTTAATGATTCCTAACATTTTGGTTGCTTTTTTGACTGCTTTTTTCACTGGGTGGATGTTTTCAGAAACTTAATAACCTTATTAACAAAGATTCATAGCAAAGCAACCCATAACAGTATCACCATCCCACAAAGATTTCACATCTCTCCCCAGGTGAGGTTTCCACCCCAATCAGCTCCTGGTTCCTGAAGAACAAAGAACAAGCGGCCCCTGCACATGTGGAAAAGGAGGCTACATGGCCAGACCAGGGATCCCATGCGATAGAGGCAGTCCCTCAGGGAGAGGGAGGCACTGTGCAGTGGTGGGGCACTGGGTGGCTGATAGAAAGTAAGTGACCATGCAGGCACTGAGCATGAGCAAGTGCCTGTCCTGTCTGGGAGCCATGCTGGGCTCAGGGACTACCCAGAAACAAGAGCGCCCATGCAGGAGGGGATGTGCATGCCGCTGCCCCTTTAAGCGCAATTAGTGAGAGCTGCTGCCTGGGCGAGAGGAAGGGGTGTTGGCTCCAAGAGGGGTGAATTTATGAGGTGCCAACCCATGGGTGGGCAGTGACAGAAACCACATGCCACTAGAAGCTGGCCCCAGCCAGCAAAGCTCCAGTGCAGCCGCCTATGCGCTCTGCGCGGGGGGAGATAGGGAGGAGGCTGCTGCTGCGGCGGCGTTGCACAAGGAGCAGTGACAGTGCATGGACTCGGTCAATTCTTTCCGCAAGCTGGTATCCCCATCAAGTAGTGAAATATCCAGCAGGGCTTTTTGGGACATTTCACTACTTGATGGGGACACAGAGACAGAGTATTTAAAATCAGGACAGTGTCAGAAAATCCGGGACGTATGATCAGTGTATACATCCAGCACTCCCACTAAAACACCACAGCATGGTATCAGCATTTTTCAAAGCATTACAGGAACTTGCTCTTGTTCACCCAGGCCCTTTCCTGACTGTTCTTCCACACCTGGTTGCTGTGTGTGTCCAAATGGGATTCTCTACAGGCCCCTATGCAGGAATTTCTGTGGGGGTGTATGCTTTGTTTGTAAATGTGGGCCACAAGGGTGTGGATATGCCCCCGTGTTTCCCAAGTAAGCGGGGAAATCAGCTCCAGCCTTCCCTTGGCTAGCCAGAGCATGGGGCAGCAACCCGCTGCTGCCTTCCTCTGGCCAGCCAGAGCATGCTTCTATGGGGTACCTGCTTTTTGCACCCTTCCCACCCCCCCCCCCCCCCAGAGGG